CTCATTACAGTCCACGCCCGTCGGATCCCTTCAAACCGGCCAGGAGATCGTCGTATCACCAAATCGCGATCGGCATCCCGCCGCTTACAAGGTATTCCTTATTTTTTTTTATTTTTTCTATCTTTTCTTTTCTTCTCTCTAAGCCAAAAGCATGGACGTGTGTAGCCCATTTGTTATTCGAGTTAACCGCATGGATACACGCCTCAGTAGCGAAAAAACCGAAAACAGAGTTTTAACAACGACCTTGATTCAGAATTCTTGTTTATCTCAGAATAAAGATATAGATCAAACGAACAAATTTTTCGAAAGTATCAATATGCCGGTGTTAATTTATTAAATACAGAAAATGACACGTATACTGGTTTCTCCGAGCATGTAATTCAACGCGAATATGATGGCATCAATTTGTAGGAGTGCGATGATTTTGAAGAGGATGTGATCCTCATGATGGATGAGGTTCGCTTCGAATTGCAAGGCCGATATGTAAGCCAATCTTAGGTTATGCTCGATGAATCGACTTCTTCATGCATTCTTTATCTTATCAGCAACGAGATGAGTGTATAGTCGGAAAGATACCCGCGGTCACATTTTATAATGCGCGTTGTTAATGTTTTTCTGATCGTAAAACAAGGTCGGAGGTTTAATGATCGTGGAACGCGAACTCTGCGAACTTATGTCTTTTAGATCATATATATATTTTAGATAATAGTCGATTAACAGACTGATAGCGGCAATAAATTTTTTTTCGCGCAGTATTATTAAAGTGACTAAATATAGATGATGGACCATGGCGAGACAATACGTTCAGTTATAGATACATTCAGAAACCTGCGATAGCAATAAATGCATGAAGAAGTAATTTCGCCGTGATTGCTTAAGTAGCTATCGGTTTGTGATAAGCTAAAGCCAGGAAATTTGTTGCATTTTTCCTCATAGTTCATCCGAATGAAACGTATAAAAATATTTAATGCGTAGGTAATTATGTACATCTCGTTTATCATTAGGGAGCGAATCGCATTTTCATCCTCCTAATATAGAGATTGATCTTATTAATGCGCGTTTATCATCAGATCGCCATGCTATACCCTAAAAGATTTCCTTTCTGGATCTTTCCTCAACATCTTTTTTTTTTACTGTCCTTCAAGTTTATTCGCGGACATTGTTTAACGCGATGCAACTGCGAAATTGTCATGCTTGTTCCTTCAGGATGTGGCAGGTGGAGGGGTGGGAGGTGGGGGCGGTAAGGGGGTGGGAGCCACGTGGCCAGATACTGTGAAGCAATCAGGAGCCGGTGGTACATTGACACCTGCTGACAGGCATGGTTCTGTACAGGTGAGTTTACCTGCGCATCTTCCTCTCTCGTGCCATTCTCTCGACTTCCCAAAAGCTTCTCCCTTTTTCTCGATTTTTTTTTGCATCTTTTCGTTTATTTTCTGCCGATTCACTTTCAATCCCGCTGTGAAAACGCTATTTTTTTAGCGACGTGACTTTAAATCTACATTAAATATAATCTCGTACATTTTTTTCTTCGCGTAAAACTTAAAAATTATATAAAAATTATAAATCTCGCGTGTATGGAAAGATTAAGGACGAAATTATTCATTGTTCTTCCCTATCATCTTTCTCGTTTCTCATTCTCATAACGTCGACATATACGGGACGTCTCAATTTATCAGGAGTAAACTGTTCGCTCTATTTCTAGACAAAGCACCACTGGATTATGGTCAGTTAGAAGTCTGTGCAATTTGACTTGTTGCGGCATGTTATCTTTGTGTCGATTGTGATCGAGACTTACCTTTTTTCTTTGATTGGATATGAGATACTAATCCGGTATTAGTACGATCACTTGTCTTCCCATGCACTTGCAATAACAAAAGTATCATCATCACGTACGAACCGTATGACTTTTGAGGAAGATCAGAGTTTATTACTTATGCTTCTTTTTATTTTCTTTAGTATATTGCTTTATTAAATATCTATGTATCAGTAGTAATTTTGTCTTATATAAAATTTTCACTTCCCTTTCCCTTTTGTCACGTAAGATCCTATTTGGTTCTTTATGTAATTTGCAAGTAGATTTTGAACAAATCGATTTTCAGTGTATATATTACTTTAAATCCAATTAGTAAAAAATATTCTTTTTTTTCATATCCAATATCAAAAACAATCAAAGCTGTACAGTTACGTAAAAATCCTTTGATGTAAAACGTGTATGTTTTCTTATCGATCTTTGCAATAACGTTATACGATGTATACAGGTGGTATCGTCAACTAATGGAGAACTGGCTAACGATGACCCGACCGCTGGTCACTCCAACACACCAATCACAGCACCTCAGGAAGTGGACATGATCGACGAAACCAAGTTAGTAGCAGTTTGTTTTATTGTACTTCTCTGTCTTTCTCTGTACTTCCGCGAGTGTTTTCTTGCGTTTCATTATTGCATTTATATGTGCAGTATTATGAAATTTTATTAATAAAATTTACTTGAGAGAGAGCCTTAATATAATCTTCGACTGTTAAAGTGAATGTTAAAGTCAGAATAAAAATAATAGTTGCTTATATCAATTGGGGATATTAAAGATATAAAAAATTTAATTTAATTTAATGAGCGAACTAAGCTATGCATGTGTGTGTATATGTTATTTTCAGAAAAGTAATTCAACTAAAACGGAAACGTTGTCCTCGATGTGGAAAGTTATTGTTACGATCTTTACAAGCATATATTTCCAGCACTTATCCTACCCTCATTCCCGAACTAGGTTTGTTACACCAATTAAAATGGTCAGTTCAAGATTTTTTATTTCGCAATATAAGAAGAAAATACGATATTTGTTAAATGTTATTAAAGATTGACTGTCATAGAAATTTTATTTCTAAATTGATAATGATAAGAAAATCAGTGTCACGAATAAAATATGAAATTATAATAAGTTGAATATATTTATGATAATACTTTATCTTAGAACAAAAATATTACAGTAGTATTCAAGTTTCGCTATTCTCACAACACAAATTATGTTTACAATGTATATAAGATATAGGGGCAAGATTTGATTTGACAATTTAGAGATAATTATTTATCATTATCGTAAAATAAATGTTTTTTTTGTATTTAAATATTTTTATTATATTATCTTATACGAAGAGACTTGACTGTTATGTTAATGTATGATGTCAAACAGCATAAATAATTAGAGAAAAAGAATTTTATTAATTTATGTATAATTTAGACAATTTGATTTAAGCAAGTCGCACGCCCCGTCTTCTCAATTATATTATACTATTAAAATGATATATTTCTTTATACGTGCAACTATAATTAAATGTCTATATTCTTTTTATTTAATTTATATTCTCTACTCTTTTCTGATGTTCCCATTCCTTTCCTTATTATTTTTCTATGAATTTTGATAAAATCAAATTAACAATTGCATGATTAATTAACAAATAACTATATATTTACACATAATCTTATCTGGTATCTTATTGAAAGATTGACAAATTTCTTTCTCTCTCGTATGCGCGATCATATGTCGAATGTAATTATTTTCCCTCTGCTGCATGCTCGATGTGTTGATCGACGAAAGACACTGCCAAGGAGACGACTCTAAGTCCTATTAGTGTTTGCTTCATTTCCAGATGCTGTTGCTTCTTCAAGCGCAAGAAGAAGAAAAGTGGAAGGCAGAAATGACTGTCCGTTACCGTTGGTCTCGGGGGGGCGGTGCAGTGCGCGGGTAATAGTGCCGACGAGACCGTGGAAGTCGTCGCTACAACGTCAAGGACTGGCAAGCGCGGCGCAGGAACAGGAATACGTGCAGGCGCAGGTACAGCAAGTGGTATCACAGGCGGCGCCGATCCTGAAAGAGAAGCCGTCACTCTGCTGCGCGTCGGCAGCCGATCCGCGTCACGGGACTCGGTGCTGCACACCACCGTCACGATGACGCCGACGCCGACGCCGCCGCCACTGTCGAACTGAATCATCATCGTCATCAACACCATCACACGACCATTCTATTACGTCGCCGCTATTATTATTAATTGGACGGCTGCGCGACTGAGTCGAGATCGAGAGAATGAAGCTGCTTTTCCTCTGGCCAATCGAGCTGATCTCTTCGATAAATAAGCGGACTCGCTGACGACGATTCAAGCACTCGCTCCTCGTAGTGAAATTCTGTAGTAATCTCAGTACCGTTGCGATCAGAATTGTCTTGGTTATGTATTACGATAAAAGTATGGTCAATTATCGGCTTTACTTAAAACTCTATTCAAAGAACTTGATACATTGATGCCGGACTTTCATTGATCTTTATCAGGAGCTGCCAGAAATTTCTTTTTTCTCATTTTTTAAAATAGAGTACATCTGAACAGATGGAAAATGGCTATATTCTGCGACTATATGTCTTTCTTTCGGTGAAAATTTAATTAATTTGATCTTTAAGTTAAGCGCAGAAATCTATTAAGACATGCAGGATATATCTATTGTAATTATATTCAAGGTACAAGTGCAACATAAAATGAGATTTTGGCATGTTTTCGCATATTTATTCGACTGTTTTTTTCTCGTCTCCATGATTGATAAATTTAATTATTCGATGATTAAATTCATGTCACTAAGTCCAATCAATTTCTGGCTACTGGTATCCATCTTTTTAGATGTGTCTCGTACGCATCTTATAGTTTCATTTAATTCACATCCTTCCCTTGTTCTTACAAACGGGCTGATGAATATTCTTTGTGGCCTTGAGCTACTGATAGAAGTTAAGACGTTAGCGAATCCACTTACCTACTTACTGAATAAATCCTCTCGTTTAGCCAAGAAAAGTGACCTCGTGCTATTAGATTATTGCTACTATTGTCATGATTACATTTCATCTTGCTGCCCACTATTCACTACTATTACTATTTACTACTGCTACCATTACTACTATTAGGTACTACGATTATTATTATTATAATGATTATTCTTCATTATTTTATTTTATTTCATTATTATTATTGATATTATTATTATTATGTTGATCATCTTTATCATCATTATCATCATCGTTGGTCATAATCGCCATTTCCATTGTCATTATCACCATTGTCCATATCCGCGTTTATCAATTACGTTGTTATCGATGTCATCAATATATTGACACGTCGCTGTTGAGAACGGTCGTCGGCCGTGACGGCGGCCATGACGTTTCAGTATCGGGAAACCAACTGAATCACATTCGCATTACATAGGAGTAAGAAGGAATTGACGTACCGAGTTGAGAGAACTTGTTTGTGCCTACGACTCTCTTCTTGAAACACGGGGACGCTTTTTAATACACCGCCGCGTTGTGCGATGGATACACGTTGGCGACTCGTCGTGCGATCGCATGTGTAACCGTGAATTATAATGAATTGAACCTACCGCAGATCTCATTGTATTCACAGCCCTGCAGGATAAGCGAGCATAGCGTGTTCCCGAATTTGTTGTAATCGTGATTTCGATTGTCACGAAATCCGATTATAATCTTCTTGAAAGGCATGAAACTGAAAAGGAATAAGAAAACGACGATCGCACGTATACTGGCCCGCAGGGAATGAGAGAGACGTTGAATATATCTGTAAATAAATGCTCTCATTTTGCCCTCGCTGAGTCCACAAATTATAAATCATGCGCGTCATGAATCGTGAGAACATATAGTACTATGTATAAAGTGAAAGTTCGCGCTCTCCTGATTTTATTAAATACTTTTTTTTATTTCGATTTTTCTTTTAATCCACCGTCCAATACGTGATACAGAATGATTCTAATGCATTGAAATATTTATATTAGGATATATGTAGTATATACGAGCCTTCCGTATAGTAAACAATTTTTATATAACTTTCATTTTGAGTTATATATTGTAGATGTGAAAGAACAGCATTAGCATCAGCGTTATTAATAAGCGCTATCGAGATAATACTGAATCGTATCCATATAAAAGTCCATACTAAAATCGAAACTCCCAATGCGTTAATTGTCGAAATAATTTCTTTGATATGTGTACACTGCCTATTTTTTCTACACGGGAATCGTGAATGCACGATAGTTCTATCATCACTACATCGTTATTAATATACATTAAGGAATGTTTTGCTACGAGTTTCTCGAAACGCAAAATGTTTTTTTTGAATAATATTTCTCTATACGATCATCATATCGTTCGCGTATTATTTATGATAATTTCCTATTCGCCCACGTACACCTGTAATTTTTAAATAACGGTAATGTAAATCGCGACAGAAATTTGCACAGCTTCCGTGCTACATTTTCCAAAGCAATATCATAGGATTCGGTTTCATGCCTTCCAAAATGAAATTATCATGTGAGAAAGTAATCTATCGCGATGAACAGTTGAAATAATTTACATTTTACATAACATATCGATGAAGTAAGATTTTTTCTGTCTGTAGATTCTATAGCGTATATAATGAAAATTTAGTAACGCGTAAATGCGAGGAAATTATGTGACATAGCCGAAATTATATGACATTGCAGTCAAATTCGTGTTCCATCACCAGTGTGTATCGATTAAAAAAAAAAGGGAAAAGAAAGAAAAAAAAACGATAAAAGAAACAGAAAAGAAAAGCGTTTCTTTCGATACGAATTATCTCCTCTGCGAAAAGAGTGCGACGTTCATGGACAGCTCTTGTTTCTTGATCCATGCGCGTTTTCGATTATTAAAAAGAACATTAACGAACAAATGAGAGAAAGGAAAGAATCAACGGTGTGTCCACGCCTGATTCTATTTCGATGTTCTTGATATAAAAATTTACATCATCGCAATCAATAATAAAAACTAGAATCGAGCATACGTGATTTTCGAGACAGATTGATCTAAATATGAAACGAAAAAGATGAATCATCAAGTACGATGTACATGCAATAACGTAAAAATTCATTTTATAATGAACTCTCTCTGCTGCAAACATATTTAATCCACTATTTTTCATGATGGAGAGCCTTACCGTCGCGAGGCATTTCTAGGGATTAACACGAAGTGACACGTGCGATTTTCTGCTAATGGCTCGCGACGAAACGTTTAAGACCAAGAGACAAATCAGAAAATATGTACGAAAATCTGGGGAACACAGAGAGCAAGGATCTCGTCAGTCATATTGATTAAACAAGTAAGGATAATTGATTATGATTACTTATTAATTTATTTTGTAATTGCTCTTAACTTAAATTCGACTTTGAATAAAATTTTCTTGCTTTAAATTTCATAGATTTGTAACATTTCTTAAAATATAGGTATATTAGAATCAGTATTAAAAAATTCAGAAAAGATTTGCAACTCTTTATTAAATCTGATATTAAAAAGAAATTGAAAATTCAAGCACAATTTTTTTTAAACATTCGCAGAAGTTTCTACGAAATGTTAACAATCCACTTTTTCCGTTTTCAGAATTTCCCAGAGAGAACATTTCTCGCTAGTATTACTTGTTTTCTCAAAGGTATATATAGTTAAACTCAAGTTTGTTTCTTTTTGCAGGAACACGGTAAACGGTAGAGATCGAATGAAGAGTAGAGGCACGGAGGTGGCGAGTATGAAGAAACGTGTGTTACGTCCAATGGTCCACACCTACACGCTAGTCTGACCGATGACTTCGTATCGTTCGTACCCAAGATGTATATGCGCATACGTACTATGTAACACGCCTGTACACCACGTTGTATCCACATTGAATACCTTAAGTACTTCTCGGCAAGCGCGTCCGACAACAGGAAACCCATGTACTTACGGAACTATCGCATACTTGTACCATAGTGTATACTCGACGCCATGCGTATTCTCGTACGATAAAAGGCAAACGAGAAACGGAAGAGAGGGAGAGAATCACTCCGTCAAACATCTTGAAAAGTAATACGCTTAAAAACATGGAGATATAATAAGCTTACTCTATGAATTTCATCTTTCTCTCTCTCTCCCTCTCTTTTTCTCCCTTTCACTTTTAACTGTATCTTCCTACTGTCGACACACCGCGAGAGCATCGTTCCTTTCTTTTATAAGCTTGAAACGCAATTGGCGAGCGACCGTCGAAACAATCAGTCGTTCTACATTTATATCAGCGGACGCAGAAAGTGAATGAGTGATCCGATGAATGCCTGACGCTGGATGATATCCGCGTGCGTGGAAAGAGAACGAATCGTTGAGAAGAGACGTTACATCCGGGACGTTTTCTCCCGGCGCGGCTTCGCGTGAGTCGTATCCGCCGTATTCCCATACTTGTACATAAGACGTTAGACCGCAATTATTGCGTACGCGGATCACGTGTGCTTACGCGAATCGCGTCCTTGCGAATAAAATTTGTTCGCGCGATAAATCCAATAGCGAGCGGCATATACGATTGTAAGTTTCAGTCAGATGATTTCTGATCAGATGAGGAGAGCACGTGCGTGCGCGAAAGGTCCATGTAGACGCAACATAGAGGAAAAAGAAAGAGAAAGTCTCCGATATTTATGTCACTGTCCTGCCACCGGGAATCCGTGTTGGCGTAATTATAATAAATCCCGCTGTGCAACCACGTTGCGTAAGGATGTTTAGTCTGTAGTTTTCTAGCCGATTTTTCAAAGCGCACGCGCGCGCAAAGTCACGATTTTTAATATAACACGACTGACTGCTGGTTAAGTATGGTTGTGAGCAAACCTGGTCTCCTTGGATATGTAGAGAGACACACACACACACACACACACGCGCGCGCGCGCGCATATACATACATACAATTTACACACGACATAATACACAAAACTTAAACATTTTTCCAGTTCCCCTAGATACGTATCTTGCACGGAGAGCGATTGTTGCATACGTGGAAATTCAGGCTTGTAATCCAAAATGAGAGAGAGAGAGAGACCCTCTCCGCTCAAGAGATATTTTTCTTTTTCTTTTTTTTTGTATATTTGTAAATTGGTACGAGTAGAGAGATTGGGGCCAGGATCGATATATCCTCGGTGTTTTTCATTCCATGGCTCATTGGTCGAAGAGCAGCATATACAGCGATAAATGTGATCGTGCGTATCTGTGGAAAAAAAATGAGGCTGCGTAATTAATTATCTTGTTACGTAAAGCGTAATTTCGAGAGAAAGAGAGATTGGATGATCGTGCGTTTCCCCTCGTGTGTTGTGATTGTTTAATTGCATTAATACGTCGATTCGACGATGTTGGAGAGACGTGATGGGAGATTCCTGAGATTAATTTAATCAGCACTATAGTTTCTTCATAGTGAGGCTTGTGTATACATTTTTTGACTTACTATATGTTCGTACTGTTTTAATGGACGAATTGTTGAACAATAAAATCGCTGATTGCTACAATAAAAAGAAATCGCCGTTTTTATGAGATCGGCAGCTCACGCGTGTGGGTGTGCGAACACATGTCCGTGTTCGATATTTTGTTACAACGCGAGATTTATGAGACGCAATTGACATTTATAATTATACAGAGAAACGATTGTGCGTGTGGATTTGCGTCGTTTCTGCAGACACAGGGAGAAAAAAATTAAGGAAGATAGATAAATTAAACGTAACGTGTAAAGCGTGCGTTTATTTCGATCTATTTACATAGTAATACATCGTAGTAAAAATGCAATTTTTTATTACGATACTATGCGAAACTAGACAGAGCATCCTTATAATTTTCTTTTTATTACATAATTGACATAGTGTGTCATTGAGAACAAATGTGTTCTTTACAAGAAAGTTAACGAGAACGAAACGACGATATTTGTATAGGTGCGGATTTGTTGAAATACTTTACACAATGTCTGTAAAATTGCGTTACTCCGCGATTTTTCATCGAACAGTGTAAAAAATTGATCTGTATTCTGGATCCTTCAATATCATGTTCTTTAACGAAATTCAACGCCACTCCCTTCAAGTGGATTCGTTTTCTTTCCACTCGCCTTTCGAACTGATATATTTGAAACCGAGCAAACTTGTATATAGCGATTAAATTGTTTTAGTACTATCATAGTGAGAATTATGTGTTTACACACGCCCATATATATGTGCATATGGGTGTGTGATTGTGGAAGTGAGGAGAGTGGTTTACATAAAAAAAATAGACATTGTATAACGAGACTGAATGATATATTATATACGTCGGACCATGAAAAAAGAAACCGATTGTCTTACATTTGCATTTTAATATGCAGTGATTATTATTATTATTATTATTATTATTATTATTATTATTATTATTATATAATAATATAACGCGAATTATAATTATACGCGAAAAAACGAAAGTCTCTCAATTGTATCGATTCTAACGAAATGGATATGTATATCTCTCTCCCCTTGTAGCAAAGATTTTACTATATATACGTAAGCTGTGATTGCTATCATATAATTTTTAACTTATATTACAATACTGATTTGCTTTGTTTAATGATTATACGAAACCGTCTGGCAAGGCGCTTTAATAGAAGAACTAAACAAACAAACAAAAAAACAAAAAAATGAGGGAAAAGAAATAAGAAAAAGACATTGGACTTGCGTGGAAGCTTATTCTTGTAAATATATTGTGTCTATTGCGCTTAGCCAGTAAGAAATTGAGAAAAAAGTTCTTAATGAAAGTTCCTGCGTACTTCCTCCTTAAGGTTTCTTTTATTCATTCTCTTCGTTACTTTGTGACATTTTTACAATCGTTTCGATGTTTATCAAGTCTCTATGATTCTCCAACATCTTCAGCAGTATCGGCTTCTTTTCTAGCATGTGACTGGACACTGCTATGAAGTTTCTAATGAGTTTCTTTATTATGTTTATATTTCGTATATACTTTTCCAATTGGTTTTTAGTTCTGAAAAGGAAAATAAAGATTTTAAATATAAAAATATTTCGTAAGACACGAATTTGGCGGATCTTTACTCACTGTACGATCTCGGGATTTGTCTTCTGCAATCTTTCGCTTCGCATTTGCTCTTGTTCTTTGAGAAACTTTGTGTGTTCAAATACTGCCTTCTGACATTCGATTTTCAGATCCAACTGTACTTGAGACGCTTTCTCGATAGCTTCCTGAGTGGCCATAATATTGTCATTGAGAGTGAAGAGTTTACTCATATAGGTGTTGAGCTTTCTAAAAATAAGCAAAATTATTTTATTATATCTCTTTACATGTGGCATTTCGATTCATATCTAAAAGTCAAAATCTCACTACAAATATTTTGAAGCATTTGATTGATCAACAAAAAAAAATTTTATGACTCAAAACGTATAACATTATGTTGATCGTACTCTTAAATTAATAACATTTACAAAAATTTATTTCTCACTTTTGGTCCTCTGCAGTGCCTTCCTTATTACTGAGCATTGAGAGAATGGTGGTGCTATGAAGGCACAACTTGACAGCTTTGGTGTTTAGGAGCATGTCGCTTACGACATTCTGCAGTGTGTTTCCGACCTCATCCTCACTTTCGCTGCGTCTGTCATCGACGTATTCTGCAACGTAAAATGTAAGTGATTCCAGAATGAAATTTCAGAGTTAAGAAAATCGTGCAAACCGACGCGTCAACGACGTACGTTTGTACTTTGCTTTAAGCATTAATAACCTGGCATTCAGGGGTATCAACGACTTCCTGGTCGTATGGACCTTCTCTTCAATTGGTCTAAAATCGTCCAGCGAGACTGCGGCGATCGGGAACTCGTTAAGCACCGCATTTAATTGTTTTGCGGACTGCTCCAGTTGATCGAGCTCCATCGACTCCGCGAGTTTTCCGTGTATCAGAGATACCACTTAGGTTCACGAAGCTCGAATTCCTCCGTGATCGCATGCCGAAACTGTACATTTATGATCCTTTGATGAACCCATCACATGACAGGAATTAAAAAATGACACAACAATACACGATACCTTCATGAAACTGCGAGACCGCCAAAAAGGACGACTATCCTACAAATAGTAGGTGTGTGTCTGTTCGAGCGTTACATGAAATCCTCAAATATTTTTGCACTTAAAATGAGATAAGATATATATTTGACTCTTGAAAAGAGAGAAAACGAAGATGTTGAGTGCCAAAAATGCAAGCAACGCGTACAGACCTAATAGTCCTAATATGACCTGTTTATTCCGCGGTTTGAAATCCGAGCACGCATGTTTCCTCAGAAATCAAAACTCACTAGATTTTTGTTCTTTCGGATGTGTTCGGAAAATATACTAGGTTTATTCGCGTTGCTTGTACTTTTTGCACTCAGCATCTTTGTTTTCTCTCGTGTTCCAACATCCGAATATATATTTATCTCCTTTTAAGTGCAAAAATTTTGGGGGATTTCAAGCAACGCGAACAAATTTTGCGTTTAAACTAAGTAAATATGTATTCACGTTGAAGAAAGAGAGAAAGCGAAATTGTTGAGTGCGCAAAGTGCGTGCAACACAACAGACCTGTTAATGAGTTAAAGCCCGATGTCCACGATGGACCGATTTCTAGCACCGTGAACACAAGGCTTAATGGATATGTATTAGGTACTTTCCATTTGATGACACAAATCGATACAAGCATCGTTCTATTCTTGTTGATATTCAGAAAGTGACAAAGATAGAACGACGCTTGTATCGACTGTCATCAAATGGAAAGCACCCATTGTGTATCGTGATAAGAAGCAAAGAAAAGGTTCACCGGGTACGTGAAGTTCGTTGATCGATTTTTAAATTTATATTTTAATGAAGATTATATTAAAATATGACTAATAATGTACACAGATATTTAATATATTTTCTGATTTCTCCTTTTCTCTGTGCGATACTTTTCTGCTGTATCAGGGAACGTGATTCGTGTTTATGAATCCGTTACCATGACAGCGGATTTGAATCCGGAAGGCTCTGGAGTGTGTAAATATATGGCAAATATATTGCCGAATTTGTTATTTTGTATATTTTATGGAACTGAATATTTTATGGAAGAAAATGACGGAAGCAACTAAATCCGATGTGCAAATTATTTTGAGCATAAAAGAAGGTAAAATTTTATAGATGTATCCTTATTATGTATACCTTAAGAATATTGCAAGTTTTATTTCTAAAATTGATATGTTTTCTTTGAAAATTCTTTTCTAAACAAATATTACTTATTCTTTATAATTATGTCAATTTTAATAATAATTGGAATAGAGAACAGAAAATATTAATTTATATAACTTACAAATTATGTCATAATATGTAGTATGATTAGAGAATTTTTATATGGACCTTAAATGTATGAGGAAATCAAATTATTTATCAAATTATAACAATTATTGCCATAAAATAAAATTTTATGTATGTATATGTTATAGGAAAGGGTTTTGAACAAGTTTTACAACCAACATTATTAATTGGAACTTTAAATGGACACTCCTTAGAAACTGACAGAATTGAGTCATGTCCGACTCCGCAATATGTTACAGATTTAGTTTGGGAAACTAATAAAATAATGTTGAGAAGGTAAAAATGATATTCGTTCTTTTTATTCAAATCGCTATTATTTGCTAATAAAGTACAGATATTGATAACAAAATATAGATGTTTGATGATTTCATTTTGTATTTAATTTATAGAATGCGATCAGAGCAAGTCTCACTAAAATTAGAATGCTTTGCTTTTAAAGAGAATGAAGGTAGAGAGAGACTCGGATACGTTCTACTAAACATACGTTCTGCGCAAGTAATATCTAAATGTGGAGATTTGAATCCAAAAGCAAGTTGGCACAAGTTGTTGGGATTACGAAGCGATCTTAAAATACAAAAGCCTGAGTTACTTCTTGCATTAAGAGTTGAAGATCGGAAGGATGTAACTTTAAATCCAACAGCGGAGGTAAAATGTATTATTTTGTATGAATAGTATATTTCAAGGTTCATAATAATCTATGTTCTAATAACTGAGTAACAAATAATTATTAATAATAAGAGAATAGTATAATTATTATATTTAGTATTATATTTAGTAAATTATATTAATAGTTAATTATAATTAGTTTCATTAAAAAAAAAATATATATATATATCACTATCACATTATATTATTTCATAGCACAGTAGAAGTTTGATAGAAAAAGATGTCATTTTGGAAAGTAATAAAATAATCCCTTATTTGCATCCTGATGAGCAATTGATTCAATTGGGGCCTTTAGATACCTGTTGTGAATTATTCATATTAAGTATCATGGCCATGTACATAAAAAATTTGCATTTATTATTACCTGAAAATTCAAATAAGCATAGCACTGTACTCTCATATCGAGTTCTGGAAAACGATGTAGAACTGAGACCGTTCAAGACAGAGTCTAAAAAATCTCATTTTGTCCCCGAAAAAGTAATAATGAGAATACGAAGTTCCTTAAGTGTTTTAAAACAATACTTACAATCAAAACCGTATTTGTTAATATATTTAAAACATGAAAATGGCTTAATAGCTGAATCATCAGTTAATCTGCAATCTCTAGTACCCGTAGATAATTTGCAAGAATTTCTCAAATGTGCTGCGCACGCGAGTATTACTTTAAACGAACAATGTTTTCTAATTAAACAAGATTCGATAGAAAAATCCATTGAAAACCAGAACCATCAGAAACCTTACCTTGATCTGCAACTTAAATTGCAATATATTGGAAATAAAACAAATATTTTGTTCAACTCTGACACAGCAATGAACTCTAACAATCATGTGATATCTAACATTCAAATGAATCATAATGAAGAAAGTATAAATAATGTCGATCAGGTAGAATAGAAACTTAGTCATTTTATCGATAATATCCCACCCTAGTGATTATCAAAATTGATAGTATGAAGATTATATATAATTTAAAATATCTGATTTCAGGGATGTCCAGAAATTGAGTCTCACAGAAATCCTAGTGGCGATTATGGAAAATCTAGTTTCAGGAATATTCCTAATGAAGCAAAATGTACAAAAGAATATAAAAATGTAAATAAACAATCTGTTGATTGCCAATGCTTAAAACATCAAACGGAATCTAAAGTTACATGTTCGCGTTCGTGCGATGGAATCCTATACAATGTTAATAAAAATCATATCAGAGATGTAGGATCTTATCACTGTTATTGTCTACGTATTTCACTCGAGGCAATATCATTGGTATCTGAGATGTTATTGGGACGAGAAATTAAATTTCGGTTTGATTGATATATATTTTTCAATTAAAGGAATATAATAAAGATATTTCTTTTTCAGTTCTTTTTAATATAATTTTTCTAGATTTCACCATCCAAAAACTGAAGTCATGTCAACAGCGTACGCAACAATGCCAGTTTTATTAAACGAGAAAGTTAAATTGCAAGATGTTGTATGCCAATTTCACTTTATATCCACACCAAATGAAATAAAACAATTACTAGAATCTTTTCCACCGAAAATCAGTATATGCGACATAAATGAAAGTGATGAATTGTCACTACTAGTACTTGATGTAAAATCATTATTTTGTCAAAAAAAGGTAATATTAATGTTATAATTATATACAAATCTTATAAAATAATAAAAATTAAAACAAGAATTTTTTTCAGTTCGAATGTCAGTATAAATTATCTCTGTTCGATATAGATCGAAATAAAATTGCTGATATGGACATTACACTCAAATTAGAAGATCGTGGACCGCATTGTATATTAAAGAAAGAAACTATCGGTAGATATACATTAAGTTTATTAAAATATTTATGTTTATTTCCTATTGTATTATTTCTTAACGATAGAACTTCAACTCTCTATTTATTGAAATGGTTTACTTAAGATAAAAATCTTGGTCCACCAATATTGGACGACAGCTTAGCATATAAAATAGTGGACGAGCTCGAAACTTGGAAGGAACGCCAAAAGGAAATGTTTAAAGCTGAGGTAAAACAAGATGACAGTGTAATTTGATTGATAATTATTTAATGACATTTGTGTGGTATGAATTAGCTCAAAAGAAAGGAAGAACGACATTTGAACATGCTGAGTGAGGAATGGCGAATGCAGAAGGAAAATCTAGAATCAAAGCTCGCATACAGTGTCGAACAATGTAAAACATTGGCCAACAGTTTAAACAACGCTACTGAAGATTTACGAAAGCGTAGATTGAAGAGCCTGGAAAATGAGACCAGACTGATCAAGGCAAACGAGGACTTGCAATGGAGATATGAAACCAAGTTACAAGAACTTAAAGATTTGTTGAATGCAACGCAAAATGATCTTACGTCAAAGGTTTGTGAAAAATATTTCAGTTATATATTTTGTTTTGGATTTGCATCTCTCATGTAACATTCACTTAAAAAGAGCACTATTAAATATTATGTCTCATGATATTTAAATTTTATGCAGATTGCCAAACTTGAGGAGAAAAAAGTTGCTTTAGAAGCTCAAATGGAAATATTATCGTTTGAAAACGAGAATATGAAATCATCGATAAGTAAACAAATGGACGAATTGCAAATGTATCAAAAGGCATCATTAACTCAAGATCAAACAGCGTCTTTGTTGCAAGAAGTAAAAATTCTCGAGGAAAAATTAGATAATGCTCAGAAGGGAAAAGAATTTTTTAGAGAGCAATGGGGCAAAGCAGTTCGCGAATTACACAGGATGAAAGTGGATTATCAACAAGCTATGCAAGTTCAAATCAAGAACAGTAGAGAAGAACTAATGAGTGCGGAGTATGTTATATGTTGTAGCATTATTTTAACTAATCTTATTATAAGAATCCTATTTCAGGTTAAACTACACTAACGACAAAATTTTGATAAATCAGTAAATAGAAAGCAAAAATATAGAACATTTTTATTTTTCGCGATATGTTTGACATAAAATTTCTTGAAATTGAAATTTAGTTAATATCAAATTATTTTATAAGCTTGTTATAGATTTTTATAATGCATTGTGACATCGGGACAATTGAAATACGTAATATGATTTGATGGAAGTGTATTTTCCTATACTTACTTTCATTTTTCTCACATACAGCA